TTCATTTATGTTCTATTTTCACAAAGTACTGTAACGTACATGTTGAAAATATCATTTATGTTGTGACTTTTCAGGGAATACTTTCAAAAAGTTGCATTGGCTTTGACATCAAACCCCAAGACAGCCCTAAACACTTTTGATTTCCCTAACAATGCCATGGAAGATAGAGGTACTGTATGTCTGTCTGTCTGTCTGTCAAACACTTGTACTGTCTGTGAATCTAGTAAACAAGATCAAATTTCTTATACTGATAAAGTGCTTGTGGTTCTGCCCAGGTCTTAGTCATCTGACAGGAGTGTTGAACAAACTGCAGTGTATAGTGTCTCTATCATTGAATGATAACAACCTGACCGGAAAAAGTAAGTTGAAGTATTGTCCTACATGTACATGTACACTGTACATGCTGTTTATTTATCATTTTAGTCACTTTTAATTATTTCTTATTTATATGTACTTAGTAATTCAGTTGTTCTTTCGCAGGGGTTTCTTTAAGGGACGTCGGGGATCAGAGAATGCTCTGGTAAATGAGCAAAATCCTCTGGCTTAATTAAATAGCTTTTTTTAAATTATAGCTCAGTAATTAGTCCTCAGGAATTTCCAGCTAGTTCGTGACCTTCTACCATCATTTTAGAACTTAATGAAACCTCTGTTTTCATCTTTTCTATTCCATCTATCAATCTCATTTCTTTCTATTTAATTTTCTTATTATTTTCTTATTCTATTTTTTCATTTGATCTTTGTCCATTAGTTATTGTTGTCTTATTTTCTTCCTTACTTTCTTCACTAGAATATTATTTTTCTAATCCACAAATTGGTATARAATTCAGAGAAGCTATTACTAAACTCAGTAATTGGACAGCATTTTTCAGTGGGAAAAACAACAGATAATCATGTSCAGTTTGAATTTGGTATCAATTTGTAGATTTTTTCCCAGTTTCCCAAACACCTCAAAAAACCATCCCAGTTTATTTCTTTATATACATATCTTGTGCATTTCTCTTTTTCTATCATTTGTTTTTCTTTTCATTTCCCCCTCCATTATTTCAGATTGTATTTCCATTGTATTCTATCTATATTTCTATTTCCTTTCTGATTTAACTTGTATTTGTGCTTGTTCAACCAGGTGTCCAATCTCTGGGGAATGCATTGAAGGCTAACAAACATGCACAGAACACGTTAAAAAGGTTAGATCAAGAAAAAAGTCTAATATTATTATCAGTTTAATTATAATAGTTGATGTGATATCTTACCAATTTAATCAACTCAATAAAATGTAGATGTAGATAATTTTGTTTAGAAATTGGTTTGCTAAATGATAAGAAAAGAGGGGGAAACTTTGACTACCAACAAATGGTACA